ATATATAGAGAGAGAGAGAGATAAAGAGTTGTGGATTTATTTGTGTAGTTCCTTGTCATGTTAATCATGCCAGTTATGCTTGATTGTGTGCGTGTGTACGCGTTTGTTCTAGCTTCTCAACTCGTGTAGGTGAGAGTACATAATTCCAGTCATAGCCCAGAGTAATTGCAAAAGAGCTCAACGTCACTTTCGGGTCACCAGGTTGTAGTGACCCAAAGAAACATGCCCAGGATTACGTAGACTTAACCTTTTCTGTGAGGCCTAGTTGAAGCCGTGACAAGAGCGCCTCCTTGCCCGTCTGTATGAAAGATGGTCCCGTTGGCTCGTCTCTTCGCGAGACCAGTTCATAAGTGATTCAATCTTCGGTACTTTCCCAAGCACTGACTTGAGCGCCGTTTCATTCGTCACAGTTCATTGTCTGTCGTTTGGACAGACTTCGTCTGCGGAGTCTTCTATGCGCCTCATCGACGATCCAAGCAAAGCGGCAGTGAAGCTGACAGTTGAACCGTGACGGAGGTCAGCATAAGCGTCTACAGACAGTCAGAAAATGGCCAGCTTTACAAGTAACGCTGAACAGGGCATCAAATTGAGACAAATGAAGCATGGAGCGACTGAAGCTGGGCTCTCAAAATGCAAAATACCGGTCCACGTATACATCGGCCGAATGTCGACTGCAGAAAATGGAGATACGAACACTTCGTTTGGACAGACTTTGCGCAACGCAATTCCGCCACACGAACCACTTTTGCAGAATCGGGCTTCCAAGCAGCAGTTCGAAAGTATGTGCAAAATGGCGGGAACAATCTGTCCTACTGTCACATGACTTTGCATTTGGAAGAGAAAGTTGGTTGTAACGAGTTCGTGATGTCAGGCGACCCCGATGCAGCTGTGCTCAGTTTTCGTGTCTTCTGTTACCGACAGCATCAAAGCAAGAATCCATAAACTTTTCTCGATAGTTCTTGCGTTTAGAGAACATCACAACCTACTTTCTAGATCAGAATGACACAAGATTTTGCTCTTATGTCGTAAGGTCCATGTGGAGGAGACCTGCGACCCATGCACAAGATACTATGCAAACACAAAACCGCTTGTTAATGTCTGTTGGTCGAAACATGTGAGCTCGCTGAAGGTAAGGCTAATACGGGACATGCGAAAAAAAAGTGGGTTTCGAGGAATCTCCTCTTTCATATTTTGTTGAGCTTACTTCCAGGTCGAGTGACAACGTTCGGCGAAGAGATTCGAAGGTCAATTCAACCAAAAGACGACGGCGGATCCCTTTTTGCAACCACCGATACCAGATCCCAAAATAATCATCCATGCATCTGAAAAACTATTTACAGGCTCCAAATAGTGTTCCTCAATGTGACCGTGTAGCTGGTCGCCAAGATGGGCGCCAAGCAAGAGCCCTTCGCAACTTCTTGTGGCTGTTCATAAAGCTTGCCATCAAATGAAAAATAGCTGATGTTGATGAATACGTTAAGAAGTTCAAGAATGGAGGCGGAAAAAAGTTGATTTTCGAGCAATCTCTTGTTTCATAATTGTTGAGCTTACTTCCATTTCGAGTGAAAGTGTTTGATGAAGAGATTCGAAGCTCGGTTCCACCAGAAGACGAAGGCGAACTCCTCTTGACCAGCTGTCGATTGGCTCTACTGGAACCTGAATGCTGACGCCGTTGCCGAGGCAATCTCCTTTGATTCCGGTGAAAATGTGCTAAGCCTTCGTCCATCACATGACGAACATGATCAGACAAAGCTATCATCGTCACAACCAAATTCAAGCCAACAAATCAAGAAAACTTTGATGATGTCCGTCATGTGACGGACGAAAGCTTAGCACCTTTTCACCGGAATCGAAGGAGATTGCCTTGGCAACAGCGTCAGCATGCATGTTCCAGTAGAGACAATCGACAGCTGGTCAAGAGGAGTTCGCCTCCGTCTTCTGGAGGACTCGAACTTGGAATGTTTTCACCAAACACTTTCACTCGAAAGGAAAGTATGCTCAACAATAATACAGGACGCTAAATAGGCACCACGTTTCGTGGGCTACGGGGACTTTACTCATTATTCTTCCACTCTTTTTATTTAAAAAAATGTTACTTCTCCTTCTTCACTTCTTTTTATTCTTATTTCCTCCTCTATTTCTTGTTCCATTTTTTTCAATTTTTCCTCTTCCTTTTTCTTTCACTCTTGTCTCCATTTATTCCACTTCTCCTCCCTCGCTCTTTCTGTCTCTTTTCGCTTGTCTACCTCCTCCTCTTCGTCCTACTTCCCACTTGCCACAGCTTTTCAACCAGTCCTATGAATGCTTTCCGACACTTACTCTGTCCTCTTGGGGAATAGGCGCAATCTGCATGCAATGCATAATCAGTCCATTCTCAGTCCATTATTGCTTAAGAATTATTCGAGTTTGCATCCAATTTATCGTAATTATGTGATCAATACACCCCTCAAAATCGATATCATCTCTTGTCCGTTGTCAAGTTTCACGGCGAGTCCTGCTGATAGCAACCTGCATTCCTGGCAAAAGATAAATTTGCATTAGACTCTCCGAGCCAGAGCTGAACTGGTTCAAAGCCCCCACGGCCGTGATCTAAAACTCGACTGTGTCGCGCAAGTTTGCTTGAGCAAAAATGCGCAAAGAAGCACTACTGAACGACATTGAGGCAAGGACAGAGTGCATTTCGGATATGCACAGACGCACACACCGACAAGACACTAACCTACCTTGGCTGCATGTGTAGACGCAGATAGCAGAAGTCATGTTGTTGTATGCTTTTGAGCATGGGCCCTTCTCAAAGTCGCATCTTGTTCTTGGTGCTTTTTCTAGGACCCCTCAAAATTTGGGTACATTCAACAATAGGATGTAAACTGTATTCAGAAAAGGCAACAACTCACTGGACACGAGGTACAGTTTGCAAGTACGTCATTTCGCGTCGGCTCGTGGGACCGAAGCGGACCTGCTTCTTCTGCAGGTGCTCTACCCGAATCCCGTGCCCTCGGTCGCGGAGACGATGGTGAAACCAGCGACTTTTGGATGGTCAAAACAGACTGTCGACTGCTCTGCATTTACCAATTAATTAAACCATAAAAACGGAATGTTCTGCTCCAACTTTCTGTACCGTCAGGCAGAGTTGACGCCTGACAGGTGATTTGGCTATTATTGCTTGCTTTTTTGCTGTCACCTCTTCAATTAGGCAATTTACGTGAATTTTCTTACAATTTTTATTTAAGCAATTTAAATTGCAGAATGGCTTCATTTTTTGTCGGATGTGAAGGGGAATGCGATAGAATGCATTTACGTCTCCAGGCCAAATGGTGGTCACGATGAGAGATAGTTGGTTGCTATGACTGGCAAGATTCACTGATGACACTACATCAGATCCACGGTAAGAAGCTGGGACTAATCATGACTACTCTCCGAGGCCTCTCTGAAATGAATGAGCAAATTGCGAAAATGAATGGGGACAACTTGTATCAAAAGATTACAATTATTTAAAAAATTACACTATTTTAGACAGAAAAAGAAAAGCCGAACGATGGCTAAAGTGCAGACTGTATTCGTCTTTCTGACGAGTTACAGTTTGGCGCAAATAATGGAAAGACTCATTGACGATGTCAACAAAAGTTCCAGATCCACGGATTGAGGCTGGAAATTGTCCTGTCTTTTGTCGGAGATCGCCACAGCAACACGACCATGCTGCAAAAATGGATTTAGACAAATTCGCAAAAGATGTGAACTATACATTGTTTGCATTTTTTCGACATTATGCATAATTTAGGGCGTCATTTTGATGTATCTATACCTTCCCGAAAAAATGGAAGATTCTAAATGTCCGCCAAGTATAAGCTAATAATGATGATGTTGCTAATAAGAATAATAGCATTAATAAAACTCAAAAAACTGCACTCATAATGATGCTGGTAATGATGTTGAACTATGTTGCATCTCATACCTCATATGTCCACTTGCGCCACAGCAACGCGACCATGCTGCGAAAATGGATTTAGACAAATTCGTCAAAAGATGTGAATTATACATTGCTTGCATTTTTCCGACATTATCTGTCATTTAGGGCGTCATTTTGCTGTTTCTGTACCTACCCGAAAAAATTGAAGATTCTAAATTTCCGTCAAGTATAAGCTAATAATAATAATTATGATGATGATGATGATAATAATAGCATTAATAAAACTCAAAAAAAGCACTCATAATGATGCTGGTAATGATGCAGAACTATGTTGCATCCCATACCGTATATGTCCACTTGCGCCACAGCAACACGGCCATGCTGCGAAAAGGGATTCAGAAAAATTCGGCAAAAGATGTGAATTATACCTTGTTTGCATTTTTCCGACATTATCTCTCATTTAGGGCGTCATTTTGCTGTATCTGTACCTACCCGAAAAAATTAAAGATTCTAAACGTCTGCCAAGTATAAGCTAATAATAATGATGATAATAATTATGATAAGAGCACTCATAATGATGCTAAACTATGTCGCATCTCATACCGCATATGTCCACTTGCGCTGTAGGTATGACGACCAAAGGGTCTAACACATGGACCAAGCCTTATCGGAAGGGCCAAATACAGTAGGAAACGGTTTACCCGTTAATTGGGTACGCTTGTCATGTATCAAAGTGGAAATGTACCGAGTTCTGTCCAGTCAGCAACGGATGCTTCATTCACGATGTCGTAAAGTCAATGGCGGAATCTAATGCCGTTAGAACGAGCTGTCGAAGAGTGAAGAGGTGGCTTGTTCAGAAACGTTTTCCACACCATGAATCTTGGCTCCAGACCAAGTGTAGGAAAGAAGTGCACAACAGCTATTTATGCTTCAATTAGAATAGCAAAATAGAAAAAAATTAAAGTATGCATGTCAGAAATGCTGTTAAGAAAGCACAGATTCTATTTTTTAACTTTATATTTTTGGCATCTTCGTTTCCTAGTACTCTCGTCTTTTCCTCTCTTGTAGATTTCTTTTTCCCGCCTCCCCCCCTCTACCGCGTCACCCTTTACTCTGCCTCTTGTATCACCAACTTGTCCGCGTGTTTTAAGGTGAAATAATTGAAATAAGACATTTTTAACTGCAACTTCACAAATGACTGTCGCTAAGCGTAATAATGCATCTAAATTTATCCATTGTCTGTACCAATGGGGGGTTTGTTGCTGTCGGCCGGTCATTAGACCTTCCATATAAACATGAGTCGTCGCAGGTGGTTTGAGGCAATCTAAAGACCGATAGTTGAGCTACTAACAATGAAATAAGTAGTACGCCTCGTGATAACTTTGACTTTCACAGCCTTGCTTCGTGAAAAGCATTCTTCTCCCGGCTGGAATGCAGCAATGACTCAGTCTGTGTTTGATCCTCCCCAAAAAGCTGCACTCTAAACTGGATCGGTAGGTTTTTAAGCGGCAACAAGTCAACTCTCGAACATACCGTCATGTCGTAGAAAGTACATAATGGAGAGATAAGTTGGTTGATATCACCGTTGTTATGGAGCTGTTTTAGCGCCGTCTACGAGATATAATCTTCATCTTTTTGGGTGAAGATCATCTAAGCTCCAATCCGTCACATGAAGGCATCATCAGAGCTCGAACTAATTCCTACAACAATCTCAAGTTAGCGCTACTTCCTGAAAGTCTTTTCGACCTGGTGGCAATTTGAGACCTATTCAAGAATGAGTTCCAGCTCCGAAGATGTCCGTCACATGATGGGCGAGAGGTGAGCCCGTTTTCTCTCGAAACCACCTTGAATGTCCCGTGCAATGTGTCAAAATTGAACGTTGTCCTTCGGTGGGATCGACCAACCAATCTATTCATTATGCACTTTGATACGAAACGAAAGTCTTCACACCACGAGTCGTGTGTGTTTCGCGAGC